TTATCGAGCTTGAGCTTCATTTTGATTGAAAGAATTGAGCTCAAATTAAGTAGTCAGACCGGTAACCTTGTTACGCTCAACATCAAGCTTGAACACAAATTATTTGTAAAAGGACTTCTATATATATATATATATATATATATTTTCTTATACACATCTTCTTATATTTTTTTAAATTTTAAAAATAAACAGGTCAAATAGATCAGCTATAAATCCACAAATTGACATATGTTTGACCCATAACTCATTCAGATAACTCAAACGGATTTCAAATCAAATACTACTTGACCCTAGCATGTTTTTTTATGTGTTAGAATAAGATGAGGTGTGATTTTGCCACCTCTCTACTTATCGTGATTCGAGGAAAAGCATGGTCAATACGTTCTTCACTTCGGAGCACGTGAAAATGGTTAGTAGTTGCAACTTGAAAGTTTTTTTTTTTGGTGGAAGTTGCAACTTGAAAGTTTTTTTTTGGTGGAAGTTGCAACTTGAAAGTTAGGTTTGCATTTCTGGTTTGTTAAAGAAAAAAAAAAAGGGTTCGGTTTGCAAAATTAATTTAAAAAGCTCCAACTTGGTTTTAAAAGTTTGTAGAATCTATATTTTAAAGATATAAATTAAATAAAAGTTTGTATAATCTATAATTTAAAGATATAAATTAAGAGTATAATAAATATATTTTATAATGTGTTAAATCCAAATGTATGTGAATCAATATATGATAGTTTTACATGAACTCAGTAAGGTCGTGTCTATTTCACTTGAAACCATAAGCATAGAAATCAATCAAACGATTACGAGAGAGGGTTTTTGATTTGGCCTACTGCCGGTCCTGGTTGCTCTGCTTTCTTTGACCTTGTTTACGGAATATGCCGCCCTCCTCATTTCTCCAACCGCATTCACATCCACGGTGAGAAGGGGAAGAGTTGGGGATTTTCATGGCGGGGAATGTGGCGTTAATGGGACGGCGCACGGCGGTGCAGGTGTGGATAGGGCCATGTAAGAAAAATACTGGGCTCTTGGATAAGGCAATAACCTTTGGATAGGGCCGACTTTAGCATATTAAACTGGGCCAGCTTTGAGGAATGAACTTCA